CACTTCCGTGGCACCTCACAGGATAAGACCCACTGGCTTGGAATTCCAGCCAGCCACCAGCAGGCAGGGTTACACCTCCCTGAGATGGAGCTCCCAGGAGAAGGAATGGACTGCCATCTTGCCTTTTGGGTGACTTAGCTCTCTAGCCTTCGGGCTTTGGAGAGTGTGAGCTGACCAGGGGCAGAAGGGATCCTCCAGCACATCACAACTGCTCTACCAAAATGTGGCCAGACTGCTTTGTTAAGCAGGTCCCTGATCCCGTTCCTCCTCACTGTGTGGGACCTCCCTACCAGGGCCTCTAGCCACCCCTGCCCATGTTCTCTAGCCAAGAGAGATTTGAAAACTCTCTGGGACAGAGCTCCCAGAGGAATGGGCAGGCCACCATCTTTGCTGTTTGGGTGACTTAACTGTTCCAGCCTTTGAGCTTTGGAGTGTTCTAGGTGAGCAGGGGTTGAGGCAGACTCCAGCACAGCACAGCTGCTCTACCAAAATGTGACCAGACTGCTCTTTGGGTGGGTCTCTGATCTCATTCCTCCTCACTAGAAGGGACCTCCCAACCAGTCTCCAGGCACATCCTACAGGTGTGTTTGGCTGGCTACCAGTGAGGCAGGAAAACAGGGTCTGGAGGCAGGGAACATAAGGCTGATTCACACTTCAGCTATGATAGGAAATATCCTCTCCATAGAGCATAGGCCAAATAAATGACTTTGTAATTTTACTTCATTCTTTCCATTTACATAGAGCATACCCCAAGTAGAGGGCATTTAAACTCACAAAAACTCTATAACAGGGCCTTCGTGCTCCTATACTTGGGCCCACTCCCACACTGTGGAGTGTGCTTCCATTTTTTATAAATTCCTTCATCTCTTCCTTGCTTCGTTTGTGTGTTTTGTGCAATTCTTTGTTCAAGACACCAAGAACCTGGATACACTCCACCATTAACACCAGCCAATACAAACACACTTAAACACATAGACTGATGTCACTATAAAGTAACCATATAAACAAGCCAGCATAATAACCAGCTAACAGCACAATGACAGGATCAAATCCAGATATCAATACTAACCTTGAATGTAAATAGGATAAATGCCCCACTTAAAAGGCACAGAGTGACAAACTGAATTCAAAAATGGTATGCTGTCTTCCAGAGACCTATCTCACACATAATGACACCCACAGGCTCAAAATAAAGGAATGAAGGAAAATCTACCACGCACATGGAAAAAAGCAAAAAGCAGAGGTTGCAATTCTAATTGCAGACAAAACAGATTTCAAACCTACAAAGAGAAAAAACGACCAGGGCATTACATAATGGTAAAGGGTTCAATTCAACAAGAAGACCTAACTATCCTAAATATATATGCACCCAACACAGGAGCACCCAGATTCATAAAGAAAGTTCTTAGAGACCTACAAAGAGACATAGACTCCCACACAATAATAGTGGGAAACTTCAACACTCCACTGACAGTATTAGAGAGATCCTCAAGGTAGAAAATTAACATAGACAATCAGGACCTGAACTCAAAATTGGACCAAATGGATCTGATAAACCTTTACAGAACTCTGCACTCAAAACCAACATAATTTACATTTTTCTCATTGCCGCATGACACATACTTTAAAATTGGCCACATAATTGAACATAAAACAATCCTCAACAAATGCAAAAGAACCAAAATCATACCAAACACACTCTTGAACCACAGCACAATAAAAACAGAAATTAAGACTATGAAAAACACTCAAAACCATGCAATTACATGGTAATTAAATAACATGCTCCTGAATGACTTTTGGGTAAATAATGAAATTAAGGCAGAAATCAAAAAGTCCTTTAAAAATAATGGGAACAAAGATACAACATACTAGCATATCTGGGACACAGCTAAGGCAGTGTTAAGAGAGATATTCATAGCACTAAATGCCAACATCAGAAAGTTAGAAATATCTCATATTAACAATCTAACTTCACAACTGAAAGAATTAGAGAAGCAAGAATAAATGAACCCCAAAGCTAAAAGACAAGAAATAACCAAAATCAGAGCTGAACTGAAAGAGGTTGAGACACAAAAAACCATTCAAAAGACCAATGACATCAGGAGTTTGTTTTATGAAAAAATCAATAAGATACAGAGGTCCACTAACTAGACTAATAAAGAAAATACAGGAGATTCAAATAAACACTTAGAAATGATGAAGGGAATGTTACTACTGACCCCAAAGAAATAAAAACAACCATCAAAAATTACCATGAACACCTCTATGCAAAAACTAGAAAACCTAGAAGAGAAAAATGTATCCCTGGACACATACACCCTCCCAAGACTGAGCCAGGAAGAAATCAATTCCCTGAAAAGACACATAATAAACTCTGAAATTGAATCTGTAACAAATAGCCTACCAACCAAAAAAAGCCCAGGACCTAATGGATTCACAGCCGAATTCTACCATATGTACAAAGAATTCTACCATATGTGCCATATGTACAAAGAAGAGCTGGTACCTCCCAAAAAGTTTAGAAGGGACTCCTCCCCAACTCATTCTATGAGGCTAGCATCATCTTGATACCAAAACCTGACAGAGACACAACAGAAATAGTAAACTTCAGGCAATATCCTTGATAAACACTGACACAAAAATCCTCAACAAAATACTAGCAAAAATTCGGCAGCACATAAAAAAGCTAATCCACCATAATTAAGTGGTCTTCATCCCCAGGATGCAAGGTTTGTTCAACATATGCAAATCAAGAAATAGTTCATATAAAAGGAACTAAAGAGAAAATCGATGTGATTATCTCATTAGATGCAGGAAAGGCTTTTGATAAAATTCATCATTTCATGCTAAAAACTCTCAATAAACTAGGTATTGAAGGAATATACCTCAAAATAACAAGAGCCATCTATGAAAAATCCACAGTCAACATTATACTAAATGGGCAAAATCTGGAAGCATTCTTCTTGAAAGCCAGCACAAGACAAGGATGCTGTCTCTCACCACTTCTATTCAACATAGTATTGGAAGTCCTAGCCAGAGCAATCAGGCAAGAGAAAGAAATAAAGGGCATCCAAATAGGAAAAAGGCATCCAGATTTGCAGGCAACATGATGCTATATCTAGAAAGCCCCACAGTCTCAAGCCAAAAGCTCCTTTAGCTGATAAACAACAGCAAAGTTGTAGGCTATAAAATCAATGTACAAAAATCACTAGCCCTCTTACACACCAACAACACTCAAACTGAGAGCAAAATCAGAAAGGCAGTCTTATTCACAATTGCCACAAAAAGAACAAAGTACTTAAGAATACAGCTAATCAGTGAGGTGAAAGATCTCTACAATAAGAATTACAAAACCCTGCTGGAAGAAATCAGAGAAGACACAAACAAATGGAAATACATCCCATGCTCATGGACAGGAAGAATCAATATTGTTAAAATGGCCATACTGCCCAAAGAAATTTACAGATTCAATAAAGACAACCATTATAAGTTATTCCTATCAAACTACCAGTGACATTCTCACACAACTAGAAGAAACTATTTTAAAATGTATATGGAACCAAAAAATAGCCCAACTACCCAAGGCAATCCTAAGCAAAAAGAACAAAGTTGGAGGCATCACGTTTCCCAACTTCAAACTATACTACAGGACTACAGTAGCCAAAACATCCTGGGACTGGGGCAAAAACAGACACACAGACCAGTGGAACAGAATAAAGAGCCCAGAAATAATGCCACAGAACTACAACCATCTGATTTTCAATAAGGTCAAAAAAAAAAAAAAAAGCAATGGAAAAAGAACTCCCTATTTAATAAACGGTGCTGGGATAACTGGCTAACCATATGCAGAAGATTGAAGCTGGACACCTTCCTTACATCATATACAAAAATCAACTCAAGTTAGACAAAAGATTTAAATGTAAAACTCAAAACTATAAAAACCCTGGAAGACAACCTAGGCAATACCATCCTGGACACAGGAATAGGCAAAGATTTCATGACAAAGACACTAAAAGCAATCACAACAAAAGCAAAAATTGTGAAGTATGGTCTAATTAAACTTAAGAGCTTCTACACAGTAAAAGAAGTTATAAAAAAAATAAACATACAACCTACAGAATGGGAGAAAATATTTGCAAACTATGCATCCAACAGAGGTCTAATATCCAGCATCTATAAGGAACTTAAAAAAATTTACAAGGGAAAAACAAAAAAAAATTAAACAGTGGGCAAATGACATGAACAGACACTTCTCAAAAGAAGATGTACATGCTGCCCAGAAGCATGTGAAAAAAAAGCTCAATATCACTGATCACTAGAGGAATGAAAATCAAAACCACAATGAGATGCAATCTTACACCAGTAAGAATGGCTACTATTAAAAAGTCAAATAATAACATGCTGACAAGGTTGCAGAGGAAAGGGAACACTTATATACTGTTGGTGGGAGTGTAAATTAGTTTAACCATTATGGAAAGCAGTATGGTGATTCCTCAAAGAGCTAAAAGCAGAACTACCATTTGAACCAGCAATCTGATTACTGAGTATATACCCAGAGGAATATAAATAATTCTACCATAAAGACACATGCATGTGAATGTTTATTGTAGCACTACTCACAATAGCAAAGACATGAAATCAATCTAAATGCCATCAATGACAGATTGGATAAAGAAAATGTGGTACATATACACCATGGAATACTATGCAGCCATAAAAAAGAAAAAAAATCATGTCCTTTGCAGGAACGTGGATGGAGCTGAGGGCTATTATCCTTAGCAAACTAATTCAGGAACAGAAAACCAAATACTGCATGTTCTCACTTATAAGTGGGAGCTAAATGATAAGAACTTATGAACACAAAGAAGGACACAACGGACCCTGCTGTCTACTTGAGGGTCAGGGGTGGGAGGATGGAGAGGAGCAGAAAAGATAACCATTGGGTACTGGGCTTAATACCTGGATAATGAAATAATCTGTACAATAAACCCCTGTGACACAAGTTTACCTATGTAACAAACCTTCACATGTACACTCAAACCTAAAATAAAAGTTAAAAAAAAAAGAAGAGCCAAGAGTATGTAATCAAGTTATATTGGTTAAGCATGTCATAATTGACTGGCTTAACCACACACTTTTTGTAGACCTCTGTGATACAATATTTTAGCATGAGGTCACAACAACAGTTAGAACTGGAGGAGAAAAAATTATAGGAGCTGACTAAAAACCTAAAGCAAAGTTATTATCTCAGGTCTTCTCAAAGGGAGTGAGTCACAGTAACAGTTGAACATCTTTGACATGAATCTGAGAAGTTTTAAAAGAAACCAGTTATAGCATTAAAAGACAAATTTCCTGTAATGCAAATCAAATACCTTAAGAAACCCCAGTTCCAATATGTAGATTATTTTCTAGAAAGTCTACCACAATTTTTCTTCACAGCCAGCTTAATCGTATGCAAAATCCCCCTGACAACTTTCCCTTTACAAACCCCATCACTCTTTTGCAATGCTTGGACTCTCTGATCTATCCTATGCCACCTCTCTCCCAAATAACCTGTCACTTTATTCTAGGAAAAGAATCTACCACACAAGATCCCTCCTCATGCAAAATCACTCTTTCTTTATATCCCTCCCCACACACAAAAAAAACGTATCTTCTATCCATAACTCTCCTCATATCTTTCTTTTTTATTCACTTGTTCCTTCACATGTTCAACCAGCCTTTTAATAAGTTCCAGATTGGAAAAAATATTATTCTTTTTTCCAATTAAGAATACATCTTCCCTGGCACATTTCATATAAACTTAGGAAGCAGAAAATTCTGAACTGCCCATCAAATACTGGGATTTTACAGATGAGAACCATTCTATAATTTTAAGAATTTAAACCATACACAAAGCTACCCTTTCAAAGCTTTTAAAAATATTCTAAAGCCTAAAAACATCAGTGATTTACCTAGGTAAAAATCTTGAAGTTAAATTTTAGAAGACACGACATTCTCTTCCAACTCTCAAGTTTAGCCTATTCTTGTTTAATTCATGAGCACTCTTTTATTTATAAGCCAATTTGATAGCATGCTGGATACAACTCGCATCACACAAAGGAAGAGACCTACATACAAGACAGATGGATCCAAGTTATTTACAAAATTAGAGCCTATCCACCTGGCCAAATTGTGTTTGCCCCAATAGGTATGGAAAACAGGGCGAGGCAGGGAAGGGGATCCTACAGAAGGGAATGGATGAACCACATTGCTCCAGAGGAGACCTCAGAGTCCCCAAGCCACCAGAGAACTTACCCAGATGTGGAGACATCAAAGAAAAACGTTCAGATGGCTGCTTCTCTGCCACTGTGGGAAGCTGTCCGTCAGAAGAATGGTCCAGGACTCCCAGTAATTTTACTTCAGCAAGGCAGCTTGTTGCAACTAGTGTAAGAAAGCTAGCTCTAGTATCAGAAAGCCCATTAGTCTCCTTCCCACAGCAATTATTACCCAGAATTTTTAGAACATGGAGGAAGTCCTGGGTTTCATTTCTGACTGGGCAGATTGATGAGGAGTCTTTGTTCCCATGCACCAGGGACAGTTAGAACATTCTCATGGCCAATGACCCTCATTCCTGCGGAAGGCACAGCAATTTTGGCTCAGGGGCTGGTAAGTCAAGGACTCTCATCTGGACACCCCAGATGCTTATCTCATGACACTTTCTTGGCATGGGTAATTCTGAGTTGGCAGGAGGCCTAAGACAACTGCTAACAATTACACTTTTTGATTATTTATTTTGGTTCTCTCTCTCTTTCTCTCTCTTTTGCCCTGTGCCTATTGTTGTAAACCTTAAAGGCCGTGTTTAAGAGCTGGCTCATAGGGGTTTAAAGTCCCACTGCTGCTTTTTGTAGCTTCCTTTTAATGTCAGGGGCATATTGAGGAATACACTTCATACCCAGGAGAGTTTGCCTTTCTGGGGAGTCTGGTCCTGAGGGCCTCAACCAAACAAACTGAAACAGAGTGGCTGTTTTGCCTTTTCAAGTTACTTTTCTAACTGTGTCATGACTGGCTTAACCACACACTTCTTCCTCCACTTCTCCTCCATGGCACAGCAAGTGGATGATAATACTTGCAAGTCATTCCAAGTTAAATCAAAGAACATGATCAACTTGAAAAACTCCTGGATTCCCTGAAAACTAGCCAAATTTCTCCTTGCATAAAGCCAAAACAGACATAGAAAATGGCACGTGTACCCTAAGAGTTCCCCTATTTCCAACAACTATTTCCCACAGTGAACACAGGTTTGACTTCAGGGGCTGATATATATTTCTTTGAAGAAGTTTATTAGGCAAATCAGTGTGATTTTTTCTTCATTATTCAAACGCAAAGCTAATTATATTAATAATCTTTCAAAGTAGAGTCCAATATTTTGAGAGAAATGCACAAAATAAGGAGCAGAATACTGAGAGAGAATGCACAATGCACAAAATAAAGAATCAGAACATGTTTTAGAGTTTAAACGCTATTTCATGCCTATATAAACTTGGAACTTATTGACCTTACTGAGCTTCTATTTCCTCCTTTGAAAAATGAAGAAGCTAGATTAGCCATCCAGTCCAGATGTAGCATCTGATGATTCTTATATAAGAGATAGGCATTTGTTTAATTCCTTTCAACCAGCAATGAACACTTGCTGAGTGTCAGGCAGCAACACTTTCTGCTCTTAGAGGAGAGCCAATGTTGCAGCAGGAGCACGGGCCACCAGACTTGATTCAGGAAATGATAAGGCCTCTAGCCCACTGTTTGCACTGCTGTTTTGGCAACCTTCCTCTGTCATTTTAAAAGTGCTCATTCTTACAAGTGAATTTATAAGAGCTTTGTATAAAAAGATTTTGAAAATTTTGCAGGATCCTGGACTTAATTGAAGACACTGAGATGTCTCAACACAGGGGCTGTGTCTTGAATATGCATATGGTAGCAGTTAATCAATATGGAATGAATGAATGACCTTGGAACTTACTGATTAACAGTGGGATAATGGTTTCACCTTTGATTAAATTCCTGAAAACTGAAGCATCTTCTTCATGTTTGGCAGTATCATCTATGCTCTATAAAAATTTGAGAAATAATATTGACATACTTGTATAATATGCATAGTTTGTATCTCTCTTTCATTTACATTGTCTTATTTGCTCCTCACTAAAACAATGTGAAGTTGGCAAGGCAATTATTATTATATTCTTTGATTTTTTTAGGAGAAAACCAAGGTTCTTAGAGTCTTAATTAGCTGCCCGAGACTCTGCAGCAGTAAGTAGCAAGAGAGTATAAAAGCACAATTATTTATCCTTTCCTACCACATGATTATGCTTCTATCAAAGTTTCAGTCTGTCACTAAATAAAATAATGTACACAGATTGCAAGGCACATCGGGGAGTGTGCCATACAATTTATTTCTACCCCTCTCCTTCTCTGCTTATCATGTGGTGAGGCAGAAAGGGTGCCTCGCTAAGTGGCATGATTTGTTTTTCCGTAAACATTGGTTGAAAGCCTACCAAAGGCCAAGTACTGCACCAGGCTTGAAGATACAAATGTAGTAAGATGCAATCTTTGCCTTCAAGTTGCTTATTCTATAGTACAGAAGACAGACTAGTAAAGAGGAAATACTTTGAAGAATGTAATGCCTACCAGACAAGGTACTTCCTGAGAACTAACAAGAGATACCAATCCAGTTTCAAGACAGCCTCAAAAACTAACCAAGGAAGTAACCGTCCAGACTGAAACTTGGTTTAGCAAGGCTGTAGGGTCATTTAAAATGTGTCCACAAATTTGTTGAAATTCCTTTAAAGAGGTGAAGCTTAATTTACTTCCTTGATTGGGAGTAGGCTGGACTTAATAAATAAGATACAGCCGAAGTGATGGTATTTTACATCTAAGACTAGGTCATAAAAAATGTGTTGCTTCTGTCTTGCTCTCTCGTGTTACTTTCTTTGGAAAAAGTCAGCTGTCATGTTGTCAAGACACCCAGAGAGACATGTGAAAAGGCCCACATGATGATAAGCCAAGGCCTTTGTCAATAGGTGTCAAGGAACTGATACCTGCTGCCTATATCCGTACAAGTGAGCCATCTTGGAAGTAGAATCTCCATCTCTAGGTGAGCCTTCAGATGACAGCAGCCCTGGCCAATGGCTTAATTATAACTTCGTGAGAGAACCTGAGCCAGACCATCCAGCTAAGCTCCTTCCAGATTTCTGGTCCACAAAAATTGTGAAATAATAAATATTTGTTTGTTTTTTTTAAGCTGCTAAGTTTGATTAACTTGTTATTCAGCATAGATAACTAACACATGGAGAATGGAAGAAGTGGCTGTGAAATTATTCTAGAGATGTAAAAGGAAAAAGAGTCAAATTAAAATGCTAGGGGGAAAAATCATAGTAATGGAGATGAAGAATACCTTTAACTTTTCTATCAGTAGACTTGACACAGTCAAGGAAAGAATAAGTGACCTGAAGAAAGGTCCATAGAAATCATCCAAACTAAAACTTGGGCAGTGGGCGGGAGAGATATCATTGAAGAAATATTTGAAGAGAGTAGCTAAAAAGTCTCCAAAAATACTAAAAACATAAAATCACAGGTACTAGAGGCTCAGAGAAGCTCAAACAGGACAAAACAGCCAGGTGTGTGGCTCACACCTATAATCCCAATTCAGAAGACTGAGGTGGAAGAATCGCTTGAGGCTAGGAGTTCCAGACCAGCCTAGGATGTAAAATGAGATTCCATCTCCAAAACTAACAATATAAAAATTAGCCAGTCATGGTGGTGCACACCTGGGGTCCTGGCTACTTGACAGGCTGAGGCGGGAGGATCACCGAAGCCCAAAAGTTCGAGGCTACAGTGAGCTATGATCCCGCCACTGCACTCCAGCCTCTGCAACAGAGTGAAACCCTATCTTTCCAAAATCATAACAATGATAATAAATACCTAGAAACATGATATTCAAAATGCTGAACACCAAAGATAAAAAGAAAATCTCAAAGTCATCCAGAGAAAAAGTCACGTTATATAGAAAAAAACACAGAGAACAAATACAGTAGAATTCTTGCCAGAAATTTTGCATGCTAGAAAAAATAGAGTGACATTTTCAAAGTGCTGAAAGAAAAATACTATTGACACTATACTTAATAAAGATATCATTTAAAACTGAGGGATAAATAAAGACTTTGTCCAACAAACAAAAACTAGGAGCATTCTTTAACAGCAGATATGAACTATAAGAAATGTGAAAGGACATTCTTCAGGAAAAAAGATTATGACATCAGACAGAAACTTGAATATACGTAAAGAAATGAGGAGTCCTAGAAATGGTTAAAAACACATAAAAGACAATTGTTTTTCTTATTTTTAATTTCTCTAAAAAATCATTTTCTACAGTTAAAATAGGCAATGATTTGTGGGTTGGGCACATAAGTGAAATTGAAACATAAAACAATAGCCAAAAACATAGACTACAGATATTGTGAGTGTACTGTCATAAATTCCCATACCATGTGTGAAGTGGAATAATGCTATTGAGATAGACTTTGATTAATTAAAGATGTATATTGCAAGCCCAAGGTCAAGAATTAAGATAGATTAAAATGAGGGTAGAAATAATAAGTCAATAATAGACCTAAAATACAATAATAAAAAATACTCATTAAAATGTAATCTAAAACAGAAGGAATAAAAAACAGAAAAAGAAAAACTACCAAGATGATAGATATTAACCAAACCATAAAAATACTTACCGTCCATGTATATTATCAAAACACAAAATTAAAGCCATACATCATCAGATTGTATTAAAATAAATAAACATAATCATGTCTATAAGAAACATACTTTTAAACATAAACATTTAGATTGGCTTACAAGTAAAAATATATTAAAAGATAAAGCACACATACATTAATTAAGACATAGCACACATATATTAATTAAAAGAAAAGAGTAACTATATTAATACCTAATAATGAAACAAAGAATAGTACTAGAGATAAAGAAAGGCATTACCTATTGATAAAAGGCTCAATTCACCAAAAAGACATGCTTACGTACCTAACAGTAGGGATTCAAAAAGACATGATGCAGACTAAAAGAAGGGAAGGGTAAATAGGTAAGTCTACACTTATAGTTGGGGACTTCAGCACTTTTCTCTAAATAAATTGGTAAAACAGAAAGATGGGAACGTCGGTAAGGATATGGAACATCTGAATAACACTAAAAACTAACCTGACTTAATTGCCACCCAAAAGCATCAGAATACACATTCTTTGCAAGCACACATTGACTATTCATCATGGTAGATCGTATTTTGGGGGAAAAAATCAAAGTTTAACAAAATAGAAGGATTTAAATCTTACAAAATATGACCTATGATCATAATGGAATTAAACTGGAAATCAATAAAAGAAAGATAGCTGGAAAACTTTCAAATAATTGGAAATTACATAACACTCTTTTAAATAAGACACACCACATTTCAAGGAGGAATTCAGAAGGAAAACTAGAAAACGTTTTGAAACAAATGATAATAAAACTCAACAATAACAATCTATGAGAGACAGCCAAAGCAGTACTGGGGGCAGTTATAGCATTCAATTCTGAAATTAAAAATAGGAAGGGTCTCATCTCAATGATAAGTGCTTCCACCTAAGAAACCATAAAAGGAGTTAATATAAACCCAAAGTAAACAGAAGGAAATAAGCAATAAACAGCAAAAGTGAATAAAACTGAAAATGAAAACAATAAAGAAAACTAATGTAACCAGACTCTGATTCCTAAAAAGGTAAATGAATTAATATACATCTAATCAGATCAACAAAGAAAAATATAAAACATAAATCTTACCTGTATTTGGTGCCTTCTATTTTTGTTCAGTTTGACTTGAGTTGTTTCTCATTCCTTGAAACCAAATATTCATAAGGCTAGACACATAAGACAACCAACCCTGTAAAGACAGAATCCCACAGGAATGTCAGATCTCATGCTTAGTTGAAATGATGCAGCAAGAATACCATATTTGGTTAATTTTATCTCATTTAAAACATTATTTATCCTCCACTAGGAAAATGTGCATAGAAGAATATACTTCCTAATGACTTTATATTACATTTTAAATCAAATCTCTTGGCTTGGTAATGTTACTAGAGATTTGATTCTATTAATGTCATTGGAATTCATTTTCATTTTCGCTAAGGATTTTTATTCCTCTCCATCAATAACTCATGATAATAATTGAAATGGAAGAAGCCATTATCTTTTATTTTATAAACTCTTTAACATGAAATTATTTTTATATAAAATATGTATTTATTTAATCTGTAGAAATACATCTTTTAAATTATTTAACTGTTTAAGGAGAGAAATGCCCAGTGGCATGAAAAGAAAATGAGTCTGTTTGTTTTGAAACATGATGGAGAAAAACTAAAATAATTCTAACATTAATTAGGCATCAAGTGTGACTGTCATTGTGCCATGTCTTAGCAAGGCATATGAACAAGTTTAAAAAACAGTTTCTTCAGATCTAAAGATTCCAGTTGCAATTAAGAAGCACAAAAATGTTTCATGCATGTAAAACCAGAGTGTAAGACAGAAAACGTTTTTTCAGAGACAGAGATAATTTTAGTAGTGTTTTTTTTGGAGAAAAAGAAAAACACATAGAGAAAAACTGCTTGCAGAGCATGAGAATTAATGTTCCAAGAGAAATGACAGAAACTTTTCCAAATTTATAGTAGACATAAATTCCTCTGGTTGAAAAGGCACATTAGATCAGGCAGGATAAATAAAATGAAATCCAGACCTGGAGGCACAGGGTAGTGAAACTGAAAAACGTTAATAGAGAAAACACAGGACATGTATCTACGCAAAATGGAACATAACTACTCAACTGATAGGCCCTGACTTTAACCAACAGCCTTACCAGAAGAGGACAAAAGATAATGTTCAATACTATTAATAAGTAGAATGTTAGATATAGCCTAGATGTGAAATTTTTTTTCCATATTAGAAAAATCCAGGGGTTCCACCCAATGGCGTAACATTGGGTTAATTCCTCCCAACCAAAGCATAATGTCTCAGATGCCTCCAGTTTCCTATTCATTCATTGTTCATGTTTGGATTTTCATCGGCCTAGAAAATGGGGGGTTACTAGTTTCAATATCTGAGTTATTGATTTTTAGCCATGTCTGAAAAATGGTTATTGCAACTCCAAGAACATCTAATCAAGTGTTCAAGGCAAGAAGAAGAAGAGCGGGGAATTCTGTCTAATTTTAAAGAAAACTTTCCCATAAATGCCCTTCAAAGGAATTCTACTTATATAGAATGTAGAGTACGTAGGATACTACAATAACAACTTCCTATTTTTTAAAACAAAAGAATTAAGAAAACAAATAGTCCAGCCAGTGCATATTAAATCCCAGTTACAATAATTATAAGGATTCTTTATCCAGCAGAGGAACAACTGCCACTTTAGTCAACTTGATGTATGCATAGGGCCGTTGCCTTTCTGCAAAAGACTCTGTCTTCCTCAACTTCTTCTTCATGGTTAGCTCCTGGGAGATTCTTCTGTGTCTATTTGATCATAGCTGAGATGACTGTAAGAGAGGATGTATTAATACCTAGGTATTGCATGGTTTCTCAATGAACTTGATGTTGACGGTGAGTTTGGAGTTGGGCTGAGGCGATTGTTTTAGAAGTTAAACAGTCACAGGCTTGTGGTCTAGATGGGCTTGTCATTTTTGATACTGAGAAATTTCTCAAAGCTTTCCATCTATTAGTTTCTAGTCATGTCAGTGAGCAAGTAACGACAGCCAAAGATCTTATCTAGAGATGTACAGTTTTCAGAACAATGCTACTCAGTGTGGCCCAAGGACCCTGACAGCCAATGAACAGTTTTTTAACTGTTCCATGATAAGAGCAGAAATAAAGAATAAAATTGAGAAATTGTATAACACATTTTGAAAGAGTAATTCTATCTGTTATATATGATCATTAAAATGGGTTTATTTTTATGTCTTTATTTTCTTTTATATGTCATTTTCATAATAATATATTTCATTGTATTTGCAAAGTATTGGTCTGCAATGAAGTGGTTGGGGAGGTGGGTCCTTCACATAGACAGTTTGAGAAGCACTCTTTTAGACTAAAAGTTTTAGTCATTTACTTGTGGGCCTCTTTGCCCCATTTGCTTCATCTTAATGGTTGCTCCTTTGAGTAAATTTGAAACAATAGCCTCAGTTGGAAATAAACTACTTCTTAATCCAGTTTTTTCTGAGGCTCACTTCTATGACTAAGAGAGAACATTTAAATAAGATTTCTTAGAAAGACCTAGCACTTCAATATTCTCAGCTTCAAGGATGTATCTTAAATTGTCCTGGCTTCAAGTTGAGTTCTGAAATAAGCCAACATTTCCATTTCATCAAGGCTCCAAATTATGAGGTTCAATTCATCTAAATTTCAGGCCTACTGGCAGAGAGCACATCTCTTAGCAAAACTGTATATGGAGTAAACAGAATGCAAAAAATGCATCTTATATATTAGTAAATTTCTTTATATAAGGCTAATGAAATATTTGGTTTGAGCCTATGGAGCTAGTCAGCTGGAAGTTCTAGGACCCAGCTGCATGGTACAGATCTGTGTCAGTCCTGGAGATGATCTGGTGTCTTGGTTCAGTGGCCAGTTGTGATTTCTACAGCAACAGCAGTGGTCTGGTAAGAGTAGGCTTGGAGAATACTAAGATGTGGGGATCCACTTTCCACCTCTCTATTTCCCAAAGAAGAGCTATTCACTAATATTCCATTTTTCTTTGCCTTCTTTTCTATGCTACTCATTCCTTAATGAGGACAAGTACTTTGTTCCGCCCTTGTTTGAAAACATTTGTGAAAAACAGGAACCAATTGCCAAAAGTCTTATTTCTGAATTTGTGTCATGTGATATATAAATCATGATATATGCATCACACGCAAGGTGGATTTAACCCAGTAATACAAGAATGGTTTAATATTGGAGAAAAAACGCGGTAACATACTTATTACGTTAACAGTTTCAAGTAAAATAAAACAAATGATGTAAAAAGCTAACGTCCTTCAGTAACATTGAATACTTACTCATGGTAAAACTCATGTTAAACTTGGAATAGAAGTATCTTTCATTACCTGAGAAAAGGAATTCCAAAAATACAGAACAAACATCGTATTTTAAAATTTGAAAGAATACTCCTTAGTAACAGTAGCAAGATAAGTGTGGTATTTGTCCCACCACTATTATATTTTAAATTTAATATTAAATTTTATTCAATTAAATTTTATTCAATTAAATATTGAATAAAATCTAAGAAAATACCTGTAATTCATTAATGGAGAAAGTTATAAAGCTTTTATGCAGTATATAAAAGTCACCATAAATAAATGGTGTTCTATGTGCATAGGTACAAAAAGTTGATATGTTAAAAAAGTCAAATCTTTCTAAAATCACAATATTTTTAGCAAAATTATCAGGCTGATAATAAAATGATAAGATGAGAGAAAGACAAAAACAGACAAAAAATTTTGAACAACAAGGCAAAGAACAGGGACGAGGTAGCAGAAGAATTATAAAATATCAAGAAATATAATTACCATGGTAATTAAAACAGAGCTGCCTTGGTAAAAGAATAGAAATACAGAATAGAGATACTCAAAGCGAATCAAGTTTTTATGAACACTTGTAAGAGACACAAGATTACAATTCAGAGGAGGGAAAGATGCACGTATGTAGGGGGAAATGTCATAAATGGGAAAAATAAGGTCAAAGCATTATTTAATATCTTACTTGAAAATAAAAGTCAGCTGGAATAAATAGTTACATACAGAAAGGCAAATCTTTAAAATTATTAGGAAGAAATTTAAGGAAGTGTTCAAAGAAAGATTTTGGAGTGCACCACAGTTTTTGACTTCTCCAGTTTCCCCTACAAAACAGGCAATGCAACTGGAATAACAAAACATGCTGCCAAAGTCTACAACAAAAGTGAACAACAAAGTATCTCCATGAACCCTAAAATGTGAGAAATTGAGGTCACACTAACCAGAATAAGTTTCACATAGTAATGGTAACTGTGAAGGGTGAAGCAGGGAGTAGGTAAAAGGATTTCTGATAGCTGGGAAAGCTGCAGGACCCTAAAACTGAATCTCTCAAGTACTTAAAATGGAGACATCTATTTTGGAAAGTTCAGTGAGCCATTCTTAAAACAGCACCAAAACTGGAACTGGTTTCATGGGCTCTAATTTGCAAGTGCAAAAGTACAACAAAAGTCAGATGGTGTGAGTCAGTTTTTATCATATGAAAACTCGAAATATAATAGTTCCTTTTTAGGTCAAAGACCAGAATTCAGAAGAATCTACTGTGAGTAGAATTTAAACTTAACAGGATAGAGACATGTAGGACCAAAGAAAAGATCGAGATAAAAGTAGGGGAAGAGAACAGAGAAAGTAGTTCACAGAAAGAAGGAGATCATATATTTAACCACTTCACAATAATAAGAAAAGAGAGCTCTACAGCTGTGAAGCAATGTGAACCCCAGATATCTGAGACAGGTCTTTGTTAATTTAGAAAGTTTATTTTGCCAAGGTTGAGAATGTGCACCCATGACAATAACCTCAGGAGGTCTTGACAATGTGTGCCCAAGGTGATCAGAGCACAGCTTGGTTTTAAACATTTTAGGGATACATGAGACATTAATCAACATATACAAAATGAACACTGGTTTGGTCCAAAAGATGGGCCAACTCCAAGTGGGGAGGGGACTTCCAGGCCATAGATAGATAAGAGACAAATGGCTGTATTGGAGGCAGTCCTATGTGCATTTATCTCAGTGAGCATAGGGGTGACTTTGAATAGAATGGGGGACAAGTTTGCCCTAAGGGATTCCCAGCTTGACTTTTCTTTTTAGTTTAGAGATTTGAGGGCC